AATGACTTTCTTTATGGAGGTACCACCGCTGTTTCCAACAGCTTCCTGGAAAACAATTTTTTTTTTAAATAAATGTTGGAAGTCCACAGAATGCTATCTATACATAACAGTAATAACACATGTCATGCCCTGTGCTCCACAGTTTCACAATTCAACAACAATATCAAACGTAAAATAAAAAGGTAATGATACAGTCAGAGTCTTCATTACAGGTCGCACACTGCTAACATTTTGATAATCTATTCAAGTATAAATTTCAAATCACTTGTTGCTACATCACCCAAACACATAGACTGACCTTCAACAGCATTTCCTCAGAGATAAATTAATTAATAGAAACAACCCCTCCTGTTCTAAGAGGTTATAATTCTCCCCACTTTTTCAAGAGATAGTTCAAATAGAGTTATGGCACCTAAACCTTTGCCCCTTGAATCTTGTTTGATCGCACAGGTAATTTATTTATAAACAATTTGTCTTTGTGAACAAACACAACATAAACTTAATGTGAGGTTCATGAATCCTAGGGACTTAGATAACAGCTTCACCATGGAGTCAAATATACAACATTAACTTACAGTGAGGTTCATGAATCCTAGGAACTTATATAACAGTTTCACCATGGAGTCAAATCCGTTCTCTGGCAGTGAGCTTTGGATGCGCTCCACGTAGGACTGGAAAGGAAATTACTTTTTAAGGCTCTCTTCCTATTTGAAAAACAATCTAATATCAAAATAGCACAATAGATTGCATCAAATGTACCTTGAACCACTTAAATGTCAGGAGCAATAATACATGTTCCGAGTAATTCTTAATTTTTTTTTTTTTTTTGCAAATAACTGTGAGCTGAAGCCACCCAAGGAAAAAAAAAAAACACAAGGCACACAATATATGACATCATATCATTTAAGTTCACCTATTTATAATATTCATAAAACACAGGATGTAGCAACTCTTACCTTGTTATTTTGTATGATACAGCCAATAAGTAGGGACACATAAGATGCTACTATACTGTCTTCCATGTGTTTTCCTGCCTTGTGCAATGCTAAAATAAATAAATAAATCTTAAACATCAAGATACCTTTTCTGTGACAATAAAAATTTAGCAATGTCAAATTTTATACCCTCTAGTTACACAACAAAGAAACTGTACCAAATTCAATCTCCAATTTTTGAAGGCACCATCCGAAGTTTTCAACAGAATTTGAAATGTGCTCTAATTTAAACAGAAAACACTTCACTACAGTAGGTAAAAGAATGTCACCCTTGTAACGTCCACCCACCTTTGGTCAAAGGGTCATTCTCGTCCTGTGAGCTGGGCAACTCCTCCATCTCGTCATCACTGTCACTGAGGGCCGCGGGGTCATCTTCATTCAGTACTACCCACTCTATGCCAGACTCCGACTCTCTCCACTCTCCGCTCTTGTCCACCGTCTCCTGCGAGGTGCCCTCCGCTGCCGAGGTATCTGCTTCCTCCTCGTCCTGTGCCTCAGCATTCCTGGCAGCCTCATCTCTCTGCAGGAATAGCTGTAACCATAACACAACAGGTGCTCTTTATATATAGACTCTCGCAGGCCAGAAATCAATACAAGGCTCTTACTGGTGGTTATTCCATTTGATATAATGACCATTAACAAGTGAAACATATTAGGGAAATGTGTAAAACGTAGTCAATCCTTAGCTGATGACCAATAACAGAAAATGTTGATCAGTGCTTCAACTATTCACCGATTTATGTGGAAAGTTATCTCTATATGGAGCTTTTTCATCATTTCACCTGCCAATTCATTATTAGCATTATTTCCTTCAACCAAATAACTGGACTATTTCAGACAAATCAATTTCAACCAGATAGTTAATACAATGGGCAAAAAAACGGTCCTACATCTTAAATTTTCACCAGACAAATCTGAGTACAACACAACAAAGTGCCCAGACTGGCGATTTTCATTTCATTCTAAAACTACCAGTTTCAGGAACTGCGGTATCCAATAACTTATAATAAACTGTATACAATCCACATAACACTTCTCTCAAAGCAGAGATCCTCAGAGCCATGTGGTGTGTCACTGACCTGTACCAGTGCCTCTGGAGCCTCCAGACTGCCAGCTTGGGATGTGGAATCATAGGAACTGACTGTCTCTGTGGACATCAGCAATCTTCTGTTTATATCACAGTGTTCAACTAAGTTAATCAGAAGTCCAAGACCCTGGAGAACAAAAAGAATGATTTGATTTTTCTTTGGAATATTACCAACACATGACAAATGTTCATCCGGTTAATGTTATGATTTTTTAATTTCATATCTATGCTAAAGTTATGCTTTCCTTTTCTTTACAAAACTACATAGCATTTCTGTGGCTTTCATATCACCATTTTTATTTATTTTTTCAAAGATATTGATTATCTAAAACACAGACAAGATTACAGGTCTGGGACATACATGAGGACACAGGTCTGGGACACACATGAGGGTACAGGTCTGGGACATACATGAGGGTACAGGTCTGGGACATACACGAAGGTACAGGTCTGGGACATACATGAGGATGCAGGTCTGAAACATACAAAAGGGTACAGGTCTGGGACTCACATGAAGGTACAGGTCTGGGACATACAGGAGGGTACAGGTCTGGGACAT